CACACACACAAATACACACGCACACACACAAATACAGCCGCACACACACAAATACAGCCGCACACACACGAATACAGCCGCACGCACACACACAAATACAGCCGCACGCACACACACACGCACACACACACACACACACACACACACACACACACACACACACACACAAGACGCAAACACAAACAAACAAAATCCACAAAACAGGTACACATCAACACATTCAATAGCGGAAGATCACATTAATTTTTTGCAGCCAGCCACATCGTCCTGGAGATAAACACAAGGATGACTTTAACCGTTCAACATCACCGTTTCATCAAACCCCAACCCAGACCCAGACTCCACCCAGATCGTCAAGCTCGGACTTGAAACTTAATGTCATCCAAGAGAAAAGGCTTTAAGAGGAACACACCAAGATTGAAGGAAATGAGGAGAAAGACCGGGGGCGGGGGGCGTGAATACGGTTTGGAAAACTGGAACCAACCAAGGAGACTCGGAAAACAAACTGAATGTTGCTCAGAGCAGGAGAGCAAATCTTCAGAGGAGAGAAACAACAAGGAAAAAACAAAAGGGAAAAACGAGGAAAGGGGGATAAAAACCGGATTCGGGAAAGTCAATGTAGGTCAGGAGGACGAGCCATCTTCCCTCGAACACAACGCACCGTCATTATGAATGTTTAGAAGCTATCTTTCCAGTCCCATGCAGTCAAGATGAGCGTACATTGTGGTTGTGGGAAGACAGTAGGCAAAGTGAGGGATATCATCACTGAGGTGGAAAGCCGAAAGATCACTGATAGAAAAGGAACACACCTAGCCCACATGTCTCTGAATGGTACAGAGTAGTACAGACACGTTTTTATTTATTTTGAGGGGAAAAAAAAGGTCCTTATGGTCGTGGCCCCGGCCTCATCTCTTATGTTGTTATAAAGATATCATTTGTGCTCAACAAAAAAAAAAAAAAAAAAAAAAATCCACTCTGGGGAGCATTAGTCCGGTTCCTATTCCGCCGGCACCTGTCAGTAAATAACAGATACTGTCTTCCCCACATTGAACACATGGTCATCAGCACTGTACCTGGACTGAAAGTTGCCTCAAATACAGGTAGAATGACAATGCATTCCATTTGGGGGGGGGGATTGGAGTCTGTTTTTCAGTTTTCGCCGGGGATTGGAGTCTGTTTTTTGGTTTTCGCCGCAGGTAATCTAGAGGGCAACCGTGGTTGATGCCCCCACCTTCGGGGGCTAGGTCCCACTTACACGGATTAAGCGATATTGACCGTAGATAGCAGAGATCAACGGCTAGAATCTCTTAATCCGTGCAAGTGGGACCGTGCCCCGGGTATCAATTGTGGGTTACAGTGCGCTCGCTATTCTTGGCAAAGTCAAAAGGAAGATCAGAGTGGTCTGGTGGAAGAAAAAAACTGTATTAGAGGCAACTTTCAGGCCAGGTACAGCAATTTCAAGCTGCTTAGCAAGTGTGAGCAGGTGAGGTGTTCTTGTGAGCATTTCGACCTACCTGCCTCATGTAGATAGATGGCCGCGTCCTCGCTAGAATTGTCGACCTCGACCACTAGCGGTTAATGGAAGGCCAAAAATTCGGGGTTTTTCGCCGCGTCGCTACAAGCAATGTTGTCGAAACTTTTGCGAACAAACTATGGATGAACGATCGTAGAATGGAAAGAATATGGTTCAGAACTTCACCCGAGATTGGAAACTAGCCGTGGTCAGCTGGAAATGGGCATATCCAGCAATCGCTCACCGCAGCGGTAGAGGTAAGAGGGTGGAAGAGAGGACTTTGCAAGATTAGCAGGTCAATTGCTGAATTGCCGAAACAGCAGGGAGAATGCAGAGCCATTGAAGAGAGAAGGTAGGTGGTGTACATCGTCGTCGTCGTCGTGAAGAAGAGCTACAGTGTCACTCAAGTGGACAGCAACCATGGAGACATGGTGGGTGCTCATGTCCCCAGCGTCATACCAGAGAGGACTGGGCTGGGTCAGCTTAGCCATTTGGTTGAGCGTGCAACTCCCATGAAGGAGGTCACGTGGGTCACGTGTTTGATTCTTAAGATTGGATCATGAAGGGAAATGCAAGATGCTCTCCCCTACAACGTCACCTATGACATGGCATCTGGGGAAGATGAGCGTGTCATCATAATCATACTATCAAAAATAAAGACTGATTATCAGAAGACTGATTATCAGCCGCATGGTCTTGTCAAGGTGCTAAGTGAAGTGAGGCTGCAAGGGTGTGGGGGGATAGGGCGAGGCATACATCATGCCCAAGCACAAGGACCTGACCAATTGTTGCGCCCGCATGCAGTGACCCAACGAGGGCAGGGAGCAGATGGGTAGCGAGAGAGCTCAATAACCTCCTCCTCGCAGGGCTTCCTAAGTGCACTCGCTTCAATCTGTGGGCTACAGCACATCTCAAGGTCAAGGAGAACCTCCAGAAGGCAGAGAAGAAACTTCAGTTACTTGGAGATAACTTTATGGGAGATAACTTTGTGGTGTGTTGGTGGGACGATTTCACATCAAAGTGATATTCACATTCAAGCCGCTCGCACATGCAGCTATCAGAGAAGCACTGGACTGGTT